AGGTACAGGGTTGTTATTCAGAGACAGTAGAATTTTCCCATTTGGTTAAGGAATACTAATCACATCAGTTTGCAATAGCATTGATGCCACTCCGTCACCATATCCTCCTCTAATCCTCTCTGTAATTTGCTTCAGTAATACTCCGTTGCCCATCCAGCTTTTCTGTCCCCCTGTAAAGCAGAGAAAGGCTTCAAGCACCTCTCTTTCCCCAGTGAAACCTGTCTTTAAGTATTTGCCCTCACCTCCCATGAGCAACCAGTACTGAGTTCATTGCTAACTGCTTTTTAATACCTTGTTTCATGAACAGTGAGGTGGGTGGAAGATTTTGTCATTAAATGGGCAGCATCCACCTCTGAAAGCACTATTTTGCAGTTGTAGAATATTGAAAGAAACACCTGTCTCTCTGTACTGGTTCTTTCTTTATTACTCCTCAAAAAATAAAAATGCATATGGCGTTGGTAGTTTCATTGCCACACAGCCCTAAGTTTATGCACCTTTAAATGAGCAAAGATAGTTGCAATAACCTTAGCATGAGTTGTATATGACAACTCTGAAGTCCCTACCTGTAAAACGTCCTAGTGCCACTGGGTGATGTGGGAATTAACATAACCATTATTTCTTTTGTTGATTTCTTAAGACAAAAGATGTGGCTTTTGCTCCATGTTACTCTGCAAGCTGAAACCTGAAACCAGGATCAATCTCCAGAATTTTGTCAGGTTCAAAAACTGAAGTTTCACTTTAAAATCAGTTGAGATTTTTAACCAGTTATCTCAGTCATGAGATCTTTCCTTTCTTTGCCTCACTCTTTCTCCCTCCTCTCAACCAAACTCCCTAGTGTTAAAAACCAAGCTGTCTTTACCTGCTGACTCCCCATCATATTCTTTACCTCACTGAACTGTTTACTAGTTTTCTTCCTGGCTCCAACTTTGCCTTTGTCCATCTCCACAGACCATCTTTGGTCCAATCCCACATTTAAGAGATCTGACAAGATAAGCACACAATCTCTGGTTCAGAAATCTCACAGGTCACAGGTTTGCTGGAAAAGTGTGTGTGTGTGTGTATGTACATTCTTAATATATACATTAATATTTACAAAATACATGTATGTATTTTACCAAAAAACTTAGGAAACCAAGAGACAAAAGCAATCTCATGGATTAGCCAGCCTAGCAGAAACTTCTCCACATGTGTGATGGTCTAAGAAGTTTAAAAGTTAATGCATATTCTCAGCCTTGCCCATTCTGGGCCCATCAGGGCTAATGTACATGCAGAACAGTTTTGTGCTTGTGTATTTGTCATTACCTAGGGTGGACAGAATATTTTTCATGCATTATATGCACCCTTAATGATAAGGAAAGGAAGGGATGTAGGCATATGTAGAAGTAGAGAGGAGCTAATGCAAACATAGTGGTAGGGGTTAAGAGTCAAAATAGTTTATGTGTTGAAAACTTCTGAAGTAACTAACTAAACCTATGTTATTGCTAGGTACTAAAACAAAAATTAATTAATATGAAAAGGTTGTTCATCCATGTTAATATCAAGAGGGCACTGTAAAGAAGTAGTCCCCAGATTTGTAAATATTCAACTTTTGGTTAAAGTTACCAGCTTTTAATTATGATGAAAACAATGCAGCTGCTTGTTTCTGAAGGACAAAGTTTTGGTTATGAAAAGTTATATGCACTACAGTACAGCAGTTTTGGTGGGAAACAGTAAAAAAACCCCAGTTCCTTTGGAAAAATGCTATTGTTGATTATTTGCAATATATTTCAACTGTGTATAGATTTCTCACAGTTGCCCAATAAACACACTGCTTTCATTCTTTGGAGCTTAACAGTTTCTCCTGTGTTCTCAACCTCTTTCCAGCTTAGTACAGTGTTTCTTTTGATGGATTGGTTTTCCTGAGTCAAACTTAAGAACTCAGAGTGTCTTATCACACTTTGACCAGCTCACTTTCTCAGGGGCAAAGAAGAGAGCAGACAAAAAGCCCATCAAGGCTTGTGCCAGTTAAATCCAAGCTCTCAAGGGATTTGTTTTTCTTTTGGTGTCAGATTAGATGTTCAAACCAAGCGGTGTTGCGGGGCCATGGGTGAGTGCCCACTGAACCCTTAACAAGGCTAATCCCACAGCAGCACATTCCAAGCAGCTAATGGGTGCGAGGGCTTTGCTGGCTCCCACGTCGCTGCGCCGCGGGCAGAGCCAGCGCCTTGCGCGGGGCCAGGCACAAACGTGTTATTCGCAATGACCAGCCGCGGAGAGACGTGGGCAGCAGGCTTTGCTCTGGGACAGCCTTAATGCCAGGCCTGGTACTCAGGTAAAGAAAAGAGAGAAAGAAAGTGTTCTTGGTGGGATTTTGCAGCAAGGGTGATAAAGAGAGAGATTTACCCAGAGTTAAACTATGAATAAACTGAATTCAAGTATGGCGTGTAGTTTATGAATTCACTGTGGACTTTTGAATTGTCTCATTAACCATTATTGAAGAGGCATTTGAAGAGAAAGAGAAGATAAGCTTCTTCCTCCACTAGTCTTGAAAATCTTCACTGTAGTCTTCTAAACTTTTTATTTCTTTACTAATTTGCATTATAAGTAAGATTTTAATGCAGACAGTTTAATTATGAATATGTTGATTTACTGAAGTTATTCTGTTACAAAGACTCTACAACATGTAGCATAATTTATTATATCTCTGAGTTTTATAGTTCATTGCAAATTTTGTCTTTTGCAGAAAGATAACAGTCGTGGCACAGTGCAACCAAATGCTTTCTTTTAAATTTTGAAGGACAAGGAATTAGAGGATTAGTAAATCACATATTTTGTCATCACAATTCTGCCAGATAGGAGAGTACAATGTTTGAGATCCAAAAGCTGGAAAGTATCCTTTCCTGATGTGAATAAAGGAGATTTTGAACCCAACTATTATTTTTACAATATTACCTTTAAAGAAGTGTGATGAAAATTCAAATACAAATTATTATTTTTGTTATTAATTTTTTTAAATGTAGCTGTGTTTCTTTTCCAATTGCAAAAACAATATGAGAAAGAGTAGGAAAACAAATTTTAAATGTCAGTTTCTTCGGTATTGAAAGCTTGCTTTTGTGCCCAGTGAAAAAAATTCAGTGATGTACCTGTTATGGCACCTTTTTGTACTGGAACTTGAGATAAATTTAGCTAGTGACCACCTTTAGAAAAGACACATTTGTTCTATGTAGCCAGGAAATTCACCATGGTAAATTGTTTGCAGAAAAGGATGAAAATAGTAATATATTTAGTAAAGGATATTTAGAAGTTATAATAAATTAAATCTCAAGGTAGTCTCTCTTAGGTGTCTTATTACTCTTTTAACTTTCAGAGTTTCTATTTAACTATACTTTGTTCAAACAAAACGTATCTTGCCCAACCTTCTATAATACATTAACCTTCTGTTTGCTACCATGAAAAAAACCAGTCAAATACAGTTTTATCTGACTTTTTTTTTTCCTGATTGTAAAAGTGATGCTAGATATCTGCCATTCCTACAAAATATTAAGTCCAGCAGATTTTTCAAATAACAATGCATGGAGGCTACAGATAAAATATTGTTAAATAGCACCAGTAACCACCAGATCCAGCAAGGAATTATTTTCTCTGTAAAATCAGAAGAATAAATTCTATATACTGGGACTAGTAAGTAGTAGACATAGCTAGAAATTTTTGTGATGTTATTTTATATTTTGTGCTAGTGACATTCACCAACTCCAAGAAATTTCTTTAGTTCACAGTAATTTTCACATGTTTCAGAAGCAGAGGGTTCTGGTTTTAAACATGTAAAACAGGATACAGATTGAGTTGACAAGAAGGTAACATTAGACAGTGATGTAACATTAGTTATTGAAAGTAATATATAGATATTACTTATATATCCTTGCATAGTAAAAAGTAACATTAATTAGTTGCACAGGCAGTTTCAAAAGTTGTCCTGTCATAGAGGTAAAATGCTCATATTTCCTTTAAATTGTTTAAAGTTCATTTCACATTACTTTATTCTCACATAATTCTGTCATAGTCCATAGTTTATAGTTCTGTTTATGCTGTGTAGTTAAATGGGTAATTTTATTATTTAAATGTATTAAGCTAATCTGTTTTAAATGAATTTTCAACGGAAAGCTTCAACTCATCTTATTAAATTAAATAATAGAGTTCTATGTTTGTGAATGTTTTAGAGAGCTTGCCAGAACTCATATTATATGGAGTGAGAATTTCCTATATAATTAAAAATATTTCAGAACTCTGAAATTCTCTCCTTTCTTGTTTTGTATTTGTTCTTCTCTTTTCCCTTTTTCTTTCCTACCCATCTCTCTGTTTGAAACGACTTCTTGTGCATCTGACAATAAAACTATGTTGCAGGAAATTTCCTGCTTTTGTATGAATATGTGATGGAAGATCTTGAGTGTTATGAACAACCATAGCTACAATTTTAGAGGCTACCCGCCAATCATCTGACTCAATGTATTAAAATTTTTGTGTCTTGTTTCAGAAACAGATCTTCTTAATTTTTTTTTTTTTTAATTAAGATGTCCACATAGAAACTGTAGTTTCTGCCTCTGTGTTAAACAGCACTCTCAGTGCTTGTGTAAAAATGTTTCAGGTAATTTTGTTGGTTTGGTTGTAAGTTTTTTTAATTAGAGCTGTCTTAGTTGTATCAATGATAGGGAAACAGAAGTGTTTTTTCTGCCATGCAGAAAGGTTTAGAGTTCGAGTTAATGCTTCTCCAGAGATTTCTTCCTCTGTTAGGAGAATAGCAAAGAGGTAATCCAGCTAGTGAACAAGAAAAATATTAAAATCTTGTATTGGGTGCTTAGCTCTAGAAGGTAAACATAGTTCTAATGGAGTATTTGCCCTCTACAAAATATGCTCTGCTTCTCTCAAGAATCAGTGAAATTTCCTCTTCTGTTTGAAGTTTAACTACAGTTGTACTATAAGTTGTATATCATAAGAGCTCAAGGCATTTCCTTTCTCTTTTTTAGGCGCAGAAATCATGGATAGAAAGAGCATTTTACAAGAGAGAATGTGTTCATATCATACCCAGCACCAAAGACCCCCATAGGTAATTGCATGTTACTTGTACGAAAAATGAAAGTTGGTTACAAAAACTCTCTATATATATGTATGCATAGAATGGATCCGCATATAAATATTTTGCAAACTTATTTGTTCAGAAGGAGGTTGAATTACATCTGGAGTGATGGATTCCTATAGGAACTATTTGTTTACATTTCAAACCTTATTTCATAGGAAAAAAGATAAATCAAGGGTGGGTCAGCATCTGTGTTTAACTTCCTTATCTTCTTAGCTCAATATTCAGTGCAGTGAATATTTACCTAAATTGGATGCATGACACACAACACTGTGTGTTGTAGCAAATAGATGCATTAAACTAGCAATTTAAAATTTGTGCTAATCCATGCAAAAGCTGATTACTTATCCTTATGTTACTTGAAGAAAAGAGAAGATCTTTAATTTCATTTTGTACACATTTAGAACAAAGCATGATTTTTTTGAAATGCAGGAGAGTCCAAGTAAACAAGACTCAGGGAAAAAAAGCTAATATATATATATGTATATGTATATATATTTATATATGTGTGTATATACTCTGTTGCTTCCATACATAAAGGCTTCAGGAAAGGTATCAGCAGAGCTGAAAAGGGGTTGGGTTGTTTTTGTAGTTTGTTTCCCTGTTGAGTTTATACACGCGCGTGACTCGGGTTTTCCGTTTGTTTAATGTCATAGGTGTTGCTGTGGGCGTCTAACAGGTCAACACATTGGACAGCCTCCAAGCGCCTCCGTTACTCAGAATGAGAAAAACGAAACCAGGCTTGCTCGCAATGACATCCAGTCGGAGAAGTGGTCCATCAGCAAGCACACGCAGCTCAGCCCGACAGACGCTTTTGGAACCATCGAGTTCCAAGGAGGAGGCCACTCCAATAAAGCCATGGTAACCATGTTTTTCTCTTAGATAAATAATGCTGCTAGCTAAAAGTAAGTGTTCACAAAGAATGGACCAGATTTTCTTAACTTCTGCTAAAGTGTTATTGAGTGTACAACCGGAATGTATGTTTTTCTGTATCACGTGCCAAAGAGTGTGTGAACAAAATTAACTGTAAAAGCTGGAGTGCAGTGTAAGAGGAGCTGCCTTTATGAAGGCTGAAGGCACATTAATGTGCTGCTGTCTTAGTTTTATTCCAATGGTTACTCATAACTCTTTTTCTGAAGAATTTTAGAATTCAACTATGATTTTCCATTGCTGGCTGTGTCTGAAAAGCTGACAGATTTTAAACATACCAAATTCCCTTTAATATTCCTCCAGACGTGTATAGGAAGATAGACCAGTTAGACTTACATTTCATATTTCAGTGCAATGAGAGGCCCCAGGAAGTGTCTAATCTAGGAACTACAATATCCCTTGATCAAGAAATTACACCTTCCCTGTGGAGTGGTACCGAAGTGCATTGGTCTGAGGGCTTTGCTCCACTAAGTGGGAGAAACATTTCCAGTACACACACTAACCAGTGAGTGTATTTCTGCTATGTAATAGTACATGAAAGGACCAATCTCTCTGACTTTATCTAAACTGCAGAACCTGGATCTTTGGGAATGACAGAAGAGTATGTGCCTAGCATTTCATGGCCAATACACTGCTCTGGCAGTGAGGGTAGAAGTTGAATTCTTGGGCACTTTGCAGAATAACCTGCCCAGCAATCCAGTACTATTTTCTGTGCATGAATTCTTCCCAACAGATGACTCAGATCTGTTATAAAAAAGAAAGACTAGAGACAGTGAAAATCTCAGGCACTATGCTAGTGTGGGCAAAGTATTTTCCTCAAATGTGTACAGACATGCTGGAGTTGGAGTGACTTCTCAAGTGGATGGTTTGTTTGTGCAGATAGATTGCTTATTTGATAGAAACTAGAAAATACTGCTGAACCAAGAAACAGAAAATAAGGTAATTTCTCTGTGAGTATCACAGACATCATGTGTTCAGTTGATAACCAATCACCTAAAAAACTGCAAGGTCAGAGGTCCAAAGATACAGTAATGAATGTTATTAACCGTATATGGATTCTTTGCATTGGATCAGTTTTATGAGAAGATATAACAGCTTTTTCAGTGATGTCCTTGAAGATTGCTATAAAGCAATAAACAACCCTGCCCAGACAAAAGTAGTCTTGAGGAGCCAAGAAATGATAAAGGTTTTAGGGAAGTAGTTGACACCAATTCTCTTAGAGGATTTCTCATCTTTGCTGGGATTCTGATGCCCTGGCATAGTGCCGGAAGAGACAGGACACACTCTAAGATTCATGCTGTGTGCTCAAGGTACAACTGAAGTGCAACTGTGGAGATAAAACTGGAAGTCAGCATAAAGGGAAGAAAAACATTGTCACAGAGTGCAGTCAGGAGTGAAACCAGGAACAATTTAGAAAAAAGGAAAAAAAGAGAACAGAAAAAGGGACTTAAACTCTCAGAAAACTAAATAGCAAGTTAAAACTTAGGGATAAAGACAATGCATTTATTGCTGGAAACTCTCCAGATGTATTTTGTTGGACGAGAATCAAGAAGCTGTACATGCCATCTATTTGTAATCATTAAACCCCACCCAAAACATGGGAATAAAACAAATTCTCTAGTCTTCAAAACAAAACAAACTATAAAATCTCCAAAAATTTGATTATTCCACTGATGGCAAAAGTGCTTCAAATTAAACAATCCAGTAAATATCTCTTGAATAAGCTTTGTGATTGCTTACCACCAGTGAGAAAAATGTCTTTAACAAGACCAAAACACAAATAAGGAGGCTTGAGTAACAATTTAAATGGAAATGGATAAAAGAATTTTATTATAATGTGTTTGCCACAGAAGCAGCATGAAGATGTCGTTGTGTTCACATTTACATACCCAAACATTATTTTAGGGTTAGATTATGGTCAAAAAGTTGCCTAACTAGTTGTTGCAGTTTTCTTAATGAAAGTTAAACTCCTACCTTTGCATTTACTGGGTGCTAGGATTTTTCCATAATAAAATAATAAAATTTAACAAATAATAAAATTTAACAAATCCAAAGGTTTCTGTGGAAACCAAGAATTTGCTCAATCAAAGGAACCCACCAACTTTTTCAGCAGAGGGAAAAAGGAGACTTAGTCATAAAACAAGGCTTGAAAAAAAAGGAGCAAGTACCTAGTAGCTCTTGGAAATATTCGTGTCCAGCTGTACATTCTCAAACCCAAACATAGAGAAGCTGATCAGTGTGGATAAGGGAAGAAAGATAAAGGGGAGAAAACATGTAAATGTATTCCTTTCTAAAAATGTGTTAGTAATTTTCGAGGTACTGGCTACCAAATAATGCTATAGTATGCAAGCTGGTTTTTGCTGGCAATCATGGTAGATTCATATTGTACCTATTGGCTAATAAAATAACCTTATAAAGCAGCAAGATTTGCCAAGCTGACCAAATCAAGGAAAACCTCAGGGGAAAAAAATTTGTGTTAAATTTTCCACCTATTCCCTACTTTATTTCCTGAAGTGGATGCCCTTACGTGAAAATTACTAAACAAGGGAAACAGAGAACTGAGCAGTATTTTTTTTGGTCTGTGTGAACAGCAAAATTGTTACATTGTTCTGAATTGGACTTCAAAGAATTAGGTGGACTTTGTTAATAGGAACCATAACCTTAGATTTATAATTGGGAAAACAGAAGTCAATTAATGGAGCAGACTAGTTCAATGTAAAACTGACAGATAATTATTTTCTCAATTTGAAGTAACAGAATTAGATGTTAATACAAAATATATAGTAAGTGTAATTATACTTCCCATGATATAATATTATATCAGTTGCCATGAGGCAACAAACAAACAGATCTTTAGCTGTGGAAATGAAAAGGATACTGAATTTCTAACAAAACACGCAGATTTGGACCAAAACAGCAAAGATACAGGTTTACATAGTGTAAATAGAACTGACTGGGCCATTAATTCCATTTCCACAGCCACATGGAACAAAAATTCCCAAACAGCATGACTTTTGCTAATGCCACAGAGCTGTTAAAGTATCTTCAGCACAGCTGTATTATCCTCCTTAAATCAGTCATAATAGTTTAATATTTTAAGACAAATAGCTTAATATTTTGTGCAGGTATTATATAGAAACACATAGCTGAGATTGGATAACACTGGTTAACAAAATCAGTTACTAAAAAGGCCCTTCCTTCAGTTTCATGCAGCCACAGATGATCCTGCAACAAGACTGTAGTATTTAGATCTCTGTCAATCTCATAATGTCTTTACAAGTGACTCATCTCATTAATATGTAAGAAATGTAATTAACGATTTTGCTTGTCTGCAATTATTTTAGTTTCGTAGCAGATTTTCAAATTTAACAACTGTGAAAAGATGTGAGAGGCATGTGGTTGTGCATAAATTTTATTAATAGGTTTTGCAAATAAAATTGAGAAAAATACAAGAAAACTAATAAAATATAATCTGCTTATGCTAGTTGGCTCTTTGCAGTTTAAGAAGTAACACACTTATCCAACTTTATACAAGCATTGTATTAAATTAAAAAGCAATTATCAAACTCATGTGAGTGATTCCATTCCAATTAAGAGCAACATTCAGAAAAATTTGAAAATGTGTTCTGTTCATCAGTGTACCCATTAAGACAATCTTTCTGAGATGCTCTGTGCACTGCAATTTTGAGCAAACTAAACCCGTTTTTTTAATACACTATCTACCTTCAGACACATCCACACACCCCCCCTTAATGTTCTCTCATTAACTGGTGAGCCTGGATTGTCTATAAACTTCTTTAAAGGATTGCTCTTTGCAGAACTAAAATTTCTTTCATCATGGTTTTTCAGGGTTAAATGGAAGATAGCTGTTTGAAAAGCCTTTGGTGAGTTAAATAGATTCCTCCTCACTGAAGGCATTTCAATGATGCATTTCATATGCAGAGTAAAATCCTAAAATAAGTTTGCAGCTGCAAAAGAAAGGAAGTTTACTTCAGTGTTATCTGCTTAAGTTTTCTAATGGTATAAGGAAACATGAAAGAACATCACTAGAATTCCAATGAACATTAACAGTTACTTAGATAAAGTTGCTAATATTCAGATCCTTAAAACTTTATTATTTGGAAGTCAGTCACAGGAAAAGGTATTTTTCTTGGTTTAAAATACATCGAGTTTTATAAAAACTGTATAAAAAGGGTGCCAAAATTCATCAGGGCTTTTGAGAGGAAAAAAAAGAGAATAATATAAATAATCATATAACTTGCATAAACCATGAAAAGACAGCAAACATTGTTTCTGTTATAGGAAATTACTTCTTAAAAAAATATTTGCAGAATTTAAAAGATGGTGTTTTACATGGAGAAAAAGGGGAAATAACACAGAAAAACCTTTATCCAAAGGCTATTTAAATCTTTAAATTGACGAGGGTCCTCTCACTGATTGTTTAGTGGAACTTGGATTAGGCCTTAAAGTGCTAAGAAGAAATAACTTAATAACTTCTACAGAACCCATCTGGTTTCAGTCTAAGTAGCAGAGTAGCAGGGTTTTTGTTTAATTCAGTGAGAACTACATTTAGGGAGAACTTCTTTTTTTTTTTTTTTTTTTTTTTTTTTTTTTTTTTTTTTTTGAGGATCACACTTTTGGAGCAACCAGTCTTTAATCTGAACACATATCTGTAGTGATAGAAACTTACATAACTTACCAAAAAGAAACACAGGAGCAATATTAGAATGCAGATCACAAAATATTGTCTGAATAGATTTACTTTCAGGTATGCAACAAAATTTTGAGTCTAATTTATTCACTGACGTTCTCATCCCTGATGCTCTGCAATCATTCACCAAGTAATTTAATGAGACAGCTGTGCTTAAGCAGCAGAGTAGTAATAGTAGTAATTCTATTTCTCAGGAACTTTGACTTTTGCCCTAGGGCACTGGAGTCAAACTTGGAAGTGTCTGGCTCTTTGACTCGTGGTGGGCATAGGTATGTTTTAGAGAACACTTGACAAAAAAAGTGAAACAACAAATGCACTCTTGCTGACCACCACTGTGCTGGTCTGGGATGAAATGGGCGTTGCAGCTCGAGCTTGGTGTTTTGTCCTTTCATGTCTTGTGTTGATGCCAGTCAGGTCAATCTGTAGGTTTTGTGATTCAGAACTGTACTTTTGCTTCCTAATTCCCCTGCTTTGCCAACACATAAAAACTGAATTCTTACATCCTATCCATATACTTCTCCCATAAAGAAAGGGTAAATAATTTCCCATTAGAACTGGTAATTTTTACAGCTGACAGATACCCCAGGCATGGAAATTCATAGCACAACAGCATAGCGGTTTGGCTTAGATTCAAATTTTGTATCTACCTCCAGAAGCTATAGCAAGAGAATTCAGAAACAAAATAAATACTCATTAATATTCTAAGCAAAAACTGATAGGGATAAATATTCTATTACAAGATTGGAAGACATGAGTTTTGTTACAGGCTAAAGTGGACTTAAAGGTGTGTTTTATAACTTAATGTAAACTTTTAAAAATAAGATAGAAGAATTCTCTTTTAGTTACTAGATAACATATTAAGTAAAGGCAAAAGAGTAAATTCAAGTATGCCAAACAAAAAATTGCTTCTTGAAGAGTAAAAATTATTCAGATAGCCATAAAAATTGACTGCTATGCACAAAAGAAAAATCATGTTTGGCATCCTTGCCAAAAGCTTCTAAACTACTAAATCTTACCTCACTTGATTTAAGTTTTAATTTACATGAAAGAACCTTAAATATTTATTTTTCCTTAAATTTCCACTTTGTAAAGTAAAGTTATACTGAGTATAAAGGGGGTTTTCAAGCAGTATAAAAAACAAGCAGTTGCTCCCAATATAAGTTGTCTTCATTTCAAATAAATGCAAGAAAATACTTCTTTCTTAATCACTTTATAGATTTATATTTATTGGAATTCAGAGGAGTATATGTATAAGGAGAGTATAAGGAGAGTAATACATAGACTTAAGAAGGTAGGGACAGTGAAATCACACATTCTTAGGTATTTTTAAAAAAATCTAAAGAATAAAAAACTGAAGAAAAAAGTAGTCACTGTCCAGATTAGATAATACACATCTGATGCCATTTGTGCCTTCATCTTAGCAACATCCCAGATGATGCCATTACATGTTTTCAACGTATTTGTATGGTAATTGCCAGTTGAATTAAGGTGAATTGAATTCACCTTAATTATCTTCTGAAGACTTGCAATCTGTCTTCACCACAAAGCAGAGTAAGGTACCAGTGATTCCAAACCAAAAACTCCATCGTTTGACCAACAGAGTTTTTATTTGGGTCCTATGAAGGATGTTGTCTGTGAATGCCTCCAGGTACCCTTTGCAGCCTCAGATCTCCCTTAAGACATGGAAAAGGGGAAAAGGATCATTCTCCTTATACCCCCTCTGGTATGTTAAAACTGACAACCCTCAAAACCCAATTTAAAAACTTTTAATGTCTCAGTCTAGTCAGTGGGATCAGGTGCCGTGCCAGTCAATTTCCAGTGTGAGATTTTATCTCACACTGGAAATTGACTGAGTAGCTACTGAGGAAGCAGTTCATCTGCATTAATGAACTTGACAGATACGAAAACTGTGTTTTTTATGTCCAGTAGCTGTTGTGGATTTGCCTGGCTGCTGCAGAGAGCATTACTGATGCACTGGACTGAACGTGCATTCCCAAATTCTTGCTCAGCTTTCGGTTTGGTTGTGCCCCCCCAAACTAATTGTGCAAAGAGGTTGTGCTTCCAGAAGTCTTAGCAGTAGGTGTTTACTGTGCAACAACCCATTCTTGCAAAAAATCCTGTTTATTAGCACTTTCCTCTGGAAAATGTCAAGTCCTTATTTCTTACTCAACTAGAAAGGAATCCACTTTATTATGGTTTTTATTATTGTTTTTATTGCTAAAAAATAACAAACTTTTGGCAAGAAATACTGATTAGACATGTCAAAATAGGACAAAATTATTACATAATATGTAGGGATATTATACTACCTGGCACTTTACAAGAAACAAATTAGGACTAGCTATTCTTCAGACTGAAGGCTAAGACATGCACCTGATGCCTGTGCTGACAACCCATCAAGGGAAAGACTGCTGAAGTTTCTCTACAGATTGATTCAATCAGAATTTTGACAGATGAGTGAGTGCTTTCTGCAATCTATTTTATTTCCTTAAGAGGGTCCTTCCAGATCTTACCAGCTATAGAAAGAATTTTTTCTTGTTTTTGCTATGTAGCTAGAAATCAGAAAATGATCACATGCCCTGTCACAGGTTTTGTGATACAGAAAGAGTAGGAGAAAGGCTTGTAACAGAGAGAGACAGGTATTTGTATGACATGGTAGTGCTGTAAGAACTTTGAATGCAGTTGCTATCTTTGAGCACAGACAGATAGGTATGATCTCCCTTGGCACAAATTGCTGCATGCATAGCACAGAATGGCCAGCAACTGGGAATGCATTAATTTATTTCACAGCCCTTTTAGGATCTAGAATTTTCTATGGCAAAATCATGAAATTGTATGTAGTTAGCATTCTTTCATCTGGAAAGTAACAGTTTGGTAATTTTGCTCAGTTTAAACCTATGTGTGCTTGAAGAACTGGGTTTTTATCTGTTATTTCATACCTTTTGAGGGTTTGACTTTGGTAATTTGAAAATGAGGTACAAGTAAATACACAGTTGTGTCCTTGACTATCTAGGTCACCTTTGGCAGACCTCTTGCATTTTTGTTCCAGTTTTTGCATTTACAAATTGTAGATATTAATCTTTCAAGCATTGCTAAGGATTTTGAGACAATTAATTTCTTAATTTCTTAAATAAAGAAAATTGCCCAGCCTGTGAAGTGCAAGTCTTCCATTATTCCTAGTTTCTCAACTAGGAAAGTAATCATCAGGTTAGCAAATAGTTACTGGTTTTGTCATTAAAAAAGTGATCTATTGGGCACAGATAATATACATTAGAAACCAGTGGGTATAACCAATCTTCTTTTCCCTACTCTCTCCTGTTGCCCTTGTTTCTGCAGTATGTACGTGTGTCTTTTGACACAAAGCCTGACCTTCTTCTGCATCTGATGACCAAAGAGTGGCAACTTGAGCTCCCCAAACTTCTCATCTCCGTGCACGGGGGCCTTCAGAATTTCGAACTTCAGCCAAAACTCAAACAAGTCTTTGGAAAAGGACTTATTAAGGCTGCAATGACAACTGGAGCCTGGATATTCACTGGAGGAGTAAACACAGGTAACAGCAACTTTGAAATAAAAGCACAGTGGCTTCTAGGACACTTCATCACAAAAAAAAACAGGGGGAGGGGGGGAATGAGAAATTATGAGATTATAAAGCCATTCTATCTTTTATTTTATTAATCATTTCTGTGCTATGTGAAAATCAGAAAATGAGAATTTCATACCAACCTGACAGCTGGTATGAAACAGAATAAAAGGTTTGCCAAAGTATGAGAAGCACACTTTGGAGCTGGAAATAAAACCTCCTGCAAAGCAATTCTATTAGTATATCACTAAGGAAGACTTCTATAGGATCAGCTGTAAGCTGCAGGGAAGGACTACTAGTCAAAGAAGTCCAACCCTTATTACACAAGACTGAAAACACTTTAATCCAGAAAAGACATTCATTGTATTTAATCAGGTGACCCAAAGTATTAAAGGAAAAAATTTCTGGTTTTTGGATATGGTGGGAAACTTCTTCCTTACTCGTAGAGAGCTCAACCTAATTTTTTGCTATTACATTTTCATCAAGAGCGATATCTGCTATTTCTAGTCAAAGAGCATCTGGGATACACCAAACAGGTGTCCTAGGGACCCAAGACACCAGCTGGCCCAACTCTGCCAGCAGACAGCATGTACACTTTGGGAATAAGCTGCGAAATGTACGTCCCTAGACAGAAAATTCTGGCATTGACATCTCAGTTACCCTCCCTGAAGGAGACAGAAAGGGAGAGAGATGCAGGGAAAGGTCAAAAAAGTTCTGCTACAGAGAATTACAAAAAGTTCTGAGCTAGAACATAAACTTGTAAATTCTTATGTCATTCTCATTTGCTGCAGTAACAAAGCTATAATTTTTTATTTTAGTAAGAGTGTATCTTACTGTCTCTAGAAAACGATGTAATCATTCTATCATGTGTTAATTTTAGTGCATGTTGGATCAACTCCTACATGATGGAATATAAATGCTTAATAGGAGTCTTGGACTTGGTTTTCAGAGCACATCAGATTTAAAACAGTACTCAGCTTTATCACAGCAGCAATGCAAGTAGCACAGAATCATATAATATGTTTAGTTGTAAGCAACCGGCAAGGATCAAAGAGTCCAGCTCCTGGCCCTGCACAGGACAGCCCCAGGAATCACAGACACCACGTGTCTGTGAGTGTTGTCCAAAGACTTTTTGAACTCTGGCAGGCTTGATGCCTGAAGAAAACAAAGACACATAGCTTTTGGAGTGTTAGAAAATAGACACAAATGTAATATGCCCCACATCTCTTCAAAATAAGGAATAAAATCACATTAATGTTGATCTGTGCCCTATGGTGATAATAATATTAGTTGTCAGATACTCTTGTCATGATGATGGTAAAGACAGATTTTAACATTTTTATGTTAAAATTACATCAGAAGAATGTACATGTTGTACACTTAATGCAGTTGATTACCGGAGCAACTGTATAAATCAAAATACATATTTTTTTAAAAAAAGGACAGATGATAACACTTGGCAAATGCACAACTGCTTCCTACCATTTTCAAATCCTCTTATTTGCAAATACCAAAACAATACAAATGACTAGGAAAGTCATCATAAATGCTGTTGAAAAGGACTCTTTTTCCTAGACAAAACAATGTAGTTCAAGTGGGTCTCTGGTGTTTTAAAAAGAAACAATTCAAAAAGAAATTTTGCAATATCAGTAATCTCTCAAGGACTTGATTGCTCAAGGACTAGGTTTCCAAACTGCACAGCTGAAAATTATTTGTGAAATCATAAAAATTGAGAATTTCTCAATAAAGTCTTTTTGTTGAAGATTAATTTTAAAAATGAATTTCTCTTAAGGAAAATTATAACTGAAAAGTCCTGAAATTCTGCTGTTGGACTGAGAATCAGTGACATGAGAGAGACGAAGCATACCTGCTTATAAACATGACTGTTGTTTTGAATATTCATGCCATGCTGAAAGCTGATTATTCTAAACAAGAGAATTTTTTGCAGTCTGGACAGATTTTCTGCTTTAAATCCTTTAGGCTGTTGGATCACAGCTTAATTCATAGCTGATGGCGGGTACAGGGTTGGGGTTTTTTAACCTTCCACCACAGGAAGAATACTAGACTCAAGGACATAGAGGATCTGTTAGGTTGTGGGGAGTTTTCTTACATTTACAGTCATTTACAGTTCAGAAAACTAAAACCAAAATCCTAACAAATAATTTGCATCCAATCATCTTGAAGTTGTGAAATTTAAACAATATGGAAATTGAGCAACTGAGAATCAAATAACATCTGCAGCAAACCCACAGGTCTGCTTCAGTGCAGCCGTATCCTAAAAATAGTTCTTAATAGATAGATTTTAAAATATTATTTTTTTAAAAGAGAGGAGAAATTACACTTGTCATTTGCACAGAGATACCACTGAAACACTGCCAAAGCTGGTCTAGGTAAGCAAGCAGCCCTTGGAAGAATGCTGGGAAGCAGCCATTCTCTCTGTACTAATTTCTGTTTTCCCGCTGATTCCCAGGGCGGATACTAGTACTCTGCTGGAAGCTATCTCAGGCAACTGAGTTTGTTCAGAAAGAGTGGCAAAATAGCTTCATCACAGAGTAGCATAATGATGTTTTCACATTTCCATCCGTGATTGGGAGCATTTGTGTATGAGCTGCACTTCTAAGGGAGTTGGGGGGTGGGGGGTGGGGAGCAGAATTAATTCCTGTGCTTCTTTCTGCGCTTGGAAATACACAAATGCATGCATGCACATGTGAGCACAAGTGCAGATAAATAAGCTGCAGTGAACTGTCAGCATTTCCATTATTTCTAAAGCTGTGTATTTTTTTCTTATTGCTTCATTTAGTAATTTTTGGATTCAATAAAATGAATCCACGGAAATTAACAATATGAAATAGGAATGTATTCATAGTTTTATATAATTGTAAGGATAGGCACAGATATTCCCTAAAAAACAAGTCTATACTAAATCCATATGATAATGAACAAAAAAGACATAATCATGAATTTTTGGTTTATGCTCTTTCTTTGCCAGGGGTCATTCGGCATGTTGGCGATGCCCTGAAAGATCATGCCTCAAAATCTCGAGGGAAGATCTGCACCATCGGTATAGCTCCCTGGGGGATTGTGGAAAATCAAGAGGATCTGATCGGCAAAGATGTAAGACCTATATAGACATAGATGACCTCCAGTATCTATAAATCTTCCAGTTATTTTTCCTGTCCTCTCCATCCCTCACTTAGTGATTCCTCTTAGAATTGTTGTCTGCAGCAAAAAGCCAATATATACACATATTTTCCATTAGGGTTGATGGTAGGTTTTGATATGGCAGAAATAAAAAGTCCTGCACTGTGTCTTATTTAAAAATAAATTATAAGGGCAATTCATTAAAAGCTATTCTTGAAAATATATCAAAGCTTCATCCTTAGAACTCTATGAACACATAAATGTGCCTAAGAAAAGACTGATTGCAAAACTTGAAATCTGGTTTATTTTCAAATACCATAATGCCTTGGTTACATTCAAAATTTCAGGCTATCCTCCTTAGAATATATTCCCTCCTATAAATTTTTATTGATGTAATTTTGAAAGGTCTTATTGGGTACTGTCGATAAGAGTGACCTCAAATAATTCACCTTCAGCCACTTTCTGGAGGACAGGGCTGGTGTTTCTCCAATTCTTTCACACTAATCTTCTCTTTTAAAACCCTAATACAGTAAGATTAACTCCTTAATTTTAAATACATGAATAGTTTGCCTGCACTGCTTATTTGTTACCTGAAACTTTTCTGAGCCCATTTTTTTCTCTCTTCTGGTTCATTTCTAAGAAGTCTGTCTGAGAATGAGTGACTGACTATGCGTGGAAGAGATACAGCTTTCAATCTGCATAAAGAACTTCTTCCTAGTCTTCATTAGCCTAACACATTCTTCTCTGTGTGTTCTGTATCCATGTCCAAGTTGTGAAGGGGAAGAAGATTCAAGTATCTCTTAAGTCAGGGGAGTTACAATGATTATAAAGAAAATTATCCAACTTGAGTTTCTTGCAATCCACTATGAAAGTACAACTGTTAGGGGAAAGTGTATTACCATGGAGTTTTGTGCTCTAATACCACAAAAACAAGCATGATCAGACTTTGCCACAGTAATTCTGAGTCATCAATGAACTCTTCTGAGGTGCAGTGCAGAAGGTAATTAGCAGAAAAAGCTAATCACAAGGATGCACTGTATCTTCGTAAAAAGGTGTAGTGTACACATAATTTTCAAATATTTCGTCTTCAGTGATTAGGCATGAGGCTCTGGAAACACAGCAGAACAAAGAAGTTAAGAAAAACATAAAATTAGCCATGAATTTTCAAATATTCCTATTCCTTTATTACTTTTTTCCTCCTGTTGCAACACTACGTCAGTTCTGAGGCAGTCACTGACTGTTTAAAGGGATCTGGAGCCTTCTTTTGCAGAAAAAGCTAAAAAAATCTTTTATTTCCCAGGTGTTCCAGCCATGCGGAGCAGCTCCCCTGACTTCTGATTTCTTTAAGCAATGCTTTCCTCTAAATATCCTTCCAATTTAATAGGAAACCAAGAAGTTGTCCAAAATAAAATAAACAATTTTTTTAAAAAAATACTTTCTTATTAAGTCATAAAAGACTTAATACTTACTCTGATCATCAGATACAAAATTTTAAAAGTTTAATATAAAGTTACAACTGATTTGGGTAGGGTCTTCTATTGAGGCAGACACAATTATTTCAGTAGGGTTACAATTACAGGGTCATCACTAAGGACAAAAATATTTCAAAATATACCTTTGATAGAGAACATAAAATTTATCCTCTCAACTTCTTTGCCCCAAATAGTTTTATAAAATTATTGATCAATGGCATGATGTAATGCTGAATCACATCTGGTTTTATTGATCTCTGATGCACGTGTAATGGATACTGCTTTATGCTTATTTATATCAAATTTCATCTTCCATTTAATTACCTCACCAGGCTGTTTTATGAAGACTTTAGTCCACTGAAATATTTGTAAGCTTTTCACCCTCTAATTGATCACAAATCCCTTACACCTATGTTGAACAGAATATAACACAGCTTGAGGTAGGCCACTTATGTCACTAAATCTTCTTAGTAAGAGCCTTCACAAAATCACTTTTTCCTTCTCACTGTTTTCCCACCCTTCCCCCCCAGCTTTCCTCTGTTATTTATGCCTCAAAGGACTTTCTCTCTTATTCAATGCATGCAGTTTCTTTAGAAGCATTTGGTGAGGAAGCTGTTTTGGAAGCTTTTTAAAAATCAAAGTGTACTATATTGACTGGCTCATTAGAGGTGAATGCTGTGTAATGAACCGAGAAGGGGAAATGTAAATAGTACCATAAGCATGTAAAATGAATCATCATTAAGCAAGAAACAAAGGCCACAAAGGATCATACAAGGGGGGAGAAAAAGTCAACCAGTAGTAAAAGGCTTGGTGGACTCTGGCATCAATGTGGGTTTATGCCTATATGCACCATGTCTGGTTAAATTATGGTCAGAACTGAAGAGTTGCAAAAACATACATGCTGAAACTTCCAGCATCAGATAGAGGCAGAAGACTGTTGTAGTCATGGGTTTTGGAGGGACAGGGGGTGCAGCAGGGGAGCTGTGGCCATTGCACATGTCCCCATGCATGTGGCCTCTCTGTGCCTCATGGCAAGGGAGGCATGCCCAGCCGAGGTGTTCCTCTGCTAATGCCTCAGCCGTATGGATCCAGAAGCCATAGCTGAGGGCTTTAATTATATTTACCAGCCCTTCCAAGTCAGTCAACCTTCAGGAATCCTGGGGGACTTCCTCAGAGCCATAAAGAAAACTGACCAAGTTAGAGGAAATATTATAGCTGTTTGCTATTTTTTATATTGTGATGATTAAAGATCCCTAAAGACACATGTCTCTACTTCAGTACCATAAAAGCAATATAGCAGAAAATAGTGCAATGCCTAACACTCTCAGATTCTAATTTAGAAACAAAGCACACAAGGGAGTTGGTTGCCTTATTTCCCCATATTTTCAGATAGAACTGAGAAAGTAAAGTGGCATGCTCAGTTTTGTAGAAAATTGTGATTATAAACAAGTTTCTTCCTATACACAGAACCATTCTCCCTTCTAAGACAGTACACTTTGTAAGTCATTGTAGCGTGCATGTATCTACTTTCAGGGTCTGTTCAGTCCTCATTTGGGTTTAATTCTAAGTTACCTCAGTAGGAGACCAGGGGTAAAGATACGGACTGGCATATTTGTAGCATATGTGGAGAATTTGGACCATGAGCCAAAAGGTCCAGGAACCTCTGAATTAAATCAGGAGCTACTCTGTTCCCTGGTATGCTCCAGAGCAACAAGGCTGCAGAAATGGTTTGATTTGAACAACAGCTGCTACTCCTTGAAAAGCAAAGCATGCATCTCTTTCTTTTTCCATCACTTCTTTGAGCTCACTGTTTGTCACAAACTCTTTGCCTCCACATAGACTACTCAGATTCATGCACCGGTTCACATGGCACTTGCAGGCTCGTTGTCATGGTGAGTTACCCTGAGAGATTTTTCAAGTCTCTATGTTGAGTGTCATATGCCTACAGGGAATCTAAGGAGAACAACAATGCTTCTTATTCAAACTCACTGCCACCTCAAGGTGCAAAGGCAAGCGCTGGGGTTAGCCCAGCCACTCACCTATTGACAGAATTCCCTCATCCCATGCAGCATGAGGACTGCTTCACAGCATGGCTGCTGTCACATTCATTAATCTGTATCTGGAGGGACTGTCTTGAGCACAAACTATTCCTTTCAGCTCTGCAGAGGAAGGTGTCCAGGGGCATTATTCGCTAGTCTCTCTATTCTCCCTATTCTCATTTCAAAGTTGGATGGGACTTGGAGCAATCTAGTCTAGTGGAAGGTGTCCCTGCCTGTTGTGAGTGGTCTTTAAGGTAAATTGAGTGATCTTTAAGGTCACTTCCAGCCCAAACTGTCATGGGATTCTATATGTGTAGAAAGAGGATGGGAAAACAGCTTAAAGTCATAGTTTTTTCCAACTATTTAGCTTGCCTGTAAAATGCAAGGGGTTAAAAAGAACAGATCAATGGAAACTGCAACAGTCAGAAATCACAAATCTGCTGAGTGTTGTGGAAGAGCAAGTAACCTCAAGGAAGTATCCTCGAAGCTTAGTATGTTCTTACCTTCCTGAAGATTTTGTTTATCCTTTTCTCAGGAAGAATCTCGCAGTGTGGTTTGAGAAATTTTATTGTCAAAAAAAGTAATTCAGATGCACAACATGCAGTGAACAGTTCAGTTGAAAATATTTGTAGTCTCATTTTCACATCCATTAAATTTATTAATAATGTAACTCACCTTGTAGCTAAACACAGAACAAAAGCATAGCTTTCTAATCTGTTCTGCAGCAGCATTACTGAGTCAATATATGAAGGCTTCAGTACTGCAACTCATTAGAGCTGCAGATCAAGATGTCACAGTTAGAAGGTTTTGAGCTGTGGCTCTCAGGAACAATCTGTCAGTAGAATTGTCTGCACAGTGGCCTGTACTCATACAATGAACAGGCAACTCAAAGGATTCCTCTACTGTAAGGCCTTGCTGATATCCATTTATTGAGAGATGGGGTGGATATCAGTTTTAAAAATTTGCACTGTTTTAATTTTATTTTATTTGATTTTTAGGGATGTGAGAAAGAGCCTTCCTTCTCTTTCTGACAGTGCCATGGGCTACATGGCTTCTGTATCTGTAGAAGCTAGCTATTAAACACATTCCAGCAGTGTACTGATATTTGTTAAGCCATATGCAGCTGTAGAATAAATTGTTATGAGTGAGACACCAAAAGAAGCAGCTCAGATTAAAAAAATCTGAGCCAGGGCTATCACCTCTTCTCACAGAGTGTAGTGCACTCCCTTGCTGTTGGCCAGCTGCCCTCTAGGTCTTCTTAGACCTATTCCCTCCTTTTGCAGGATGAAGAGCTTACAGAGCACCCTTTACATGACAGTTTATTACAGCAAAAGACGTTTGTGTATTTCTCCTTGCAGGCTAAGAGCTGATCAAAGTTAGGCAGACATTAACAAATGAAAATAATATCTAGAGAGAGATCTCTGGCTAAAGAATTGCTAACACATATTGTTTTAAAAGAATTGTGTCTCAATTAGAGATCTCTTTAATATTACAGAGGGAAAAAAGCTTAGGAATAAATCAATAACTTATAATATTTCTCTCTGCAAGCATCTGTGTCAAATTTTGAGCATACATATTTGTGCATTAAAAGCACAAGACCTGAAAAATGAATAATGTCAGAACTCTGAAGAAAATTGTTTGCAAATGAAGGATGGTCCAGCTGAGTTTTCTGTCATTGCAGCACTTCTTCAGCTAAGACTTCATTTTACAGATTTTCAGTTTTGTCTCTCCAAAAAGACAAGACATACATAAGAAAGGCAGGGCATAGTATTGCTAGAAAACGTTTGAAGTGTCAGTCAGGATACCTTGACACAACACCAATTGTTTTGCTGTGTTAGTACAGTCTTACTTATGTCAACAGACACCTACCAAAGCAAGTGACAGCAAGAAAATTGAAAATGTGGTGTAATATCATGTGTACACCTCTCCAAGAGTGGAACTCACCTGTATTTGTGTATCTCCGGTGCTGGTGGTCCTGCATGAGCCAACACTGGAGGCATGATGCTGGGTGGGGTCTGTGAAGGACAAATCAAAGAATTTGGTCAGAGCAAGGTGAGATTTTACACCAACTGTCTAGGTAGGCAGCACTAGACAGGGTGTGTGCATAGTCACCCAGACCTTTGGAGCACTGATGGTGCCATGGAAAACCCTTTAAGCCATGTCTGCATCTGAAAGGGCAGTGTTAAGGTTTTCTACTTTACATACAAAAGGCAGTAATGCTCAAGTGCAGTACTCTAAGTTTGAATTTTTCTTTTGTTTCATCTTGTCAGCTCATATCTTGTAATTGATCTAGTTCAGAGGCTCTCTTCTGTTAAGTGTGCCTTCTTTTCCTCTGTCTCTAAAATGCAGGTGGTCCGACCATACCAGACGATGTCCAATCCCATGAGCAAGCTGACAGTGCTCAACAGCATGCATTCTCATTTTATTTTGGCTGACAATGGTACTACTGGTAAATATGGAGCAGAGGTAAAGCTTCGCAGACACCTGGAAAAGCACATTTCACTTCAGAAGATAAATACAAGTGAGTCGCATGCTGCTTGTATTGCTTTATAATTGCAAAAACCACTCAGTATAAAGAAGCAATAATTCTGCACATGTGGAGGAGTGGTTCTGCTGTCTATGGTGACTATGATCTAAGGAAAGCAAATAATGAGCAAAGATAATAAAATTTTATTTTAGAGTGCAGTGGGTTTTAGTGTGCACAGCAGAAATAGCTGGATTTGTTTCTGCTAAGTTTCAAGCAGTATGTGGTAAGTTTCACATTCCACTCAGATCTGTGGTAGCCTGTCTTCCTTAGAACTGTGTACAGTTAAGTTCTCCTTAGTTTAGTAAGGGAAAGGGTGAAATTAGCACAGTTAAAGAAAAGGGTAACAAAATAGAAGGAAGAGTTTTTTATTATAAATGTTTTGCAGGTTGAAGAGACACTGATATTTATAGGCAGTGAGAGTGTTCCATAAAAGTGCTGCTATACCTTTGCACTGTGTTTATTAGTTTCTCCTAGGCAGCTGTCATTAGCCAAAGCCAGAAGCTGAATTATGAACTTAGGTCTTCCTGCCACTTCATCTTTTGCAACCCTGATAATATCACATCATGACCAGACTGAAGCCCCAGTTTTTCTCTCAAAGTTGTATTTTTTCTTTTCATGTACCACTTTCCTACCTAAAAGAAAAGAATAGTCACCTAAGAAAGCATTTCTGCATGGATAAAATAAAATATGATATCTCAATACTAGTATTATTTTTTTTTTTTTTTTTTTTTTTTTTTTTTTTTTTTTTTTTGTGGCACAGGAATGTGAAACTGGAATGAGACTAGGAAAAGCATTTAGCTCTCAGACATCAGATGACAAGGAATTACGGGCAGGCCCAGTTGGGTGAATGCAAGCTAGAATGTTCTTCATGCTTCATAAAAGTTTCTGTATGATGAATATAATCTGTGCTTAAATTAAAATATTGTGCTGCTTACAGGCTTCAACACCACTGCATGAACTCCACTCGCTACAGGCTTATTGTTTTTAGGTTATCAAAGTTACATTGTTTTTTCTCAGAGAACACTATGTAGATACGCACAAAATGTGTGCAACATAAGTAGTGGGTGCATGCCTGGGAGCTTCCTTAGCTGATGAAGATAGTGCAATCTAATCCTAACTTGACCAGCAGCAAAAAGACACATTTGAAAATGGCATATCATGAAAATACATAAAATTGTGGCATAAACAGCAGTTACTTTGAAGGCCTTTAAAAGAAAATTGTGAGCTTTTACAGTTTACAGCATAAAATTTTGGTGGCAAAATCTTATCTTAAAAAAGAAATCTCTTTAGTGAGATTTAACTAAATTCAGATTTGGTCAAGAGGCTTATCTTTTAAAAAGTGACTGATGGATGAAAATACAGACTTCGGTCATTCAAGTCAAATGCTTGCGTGGCTTCTTCAAACATCTAAAAAATTAAGAACTTCTCTGGTTTCTTTCTTCAGTACACCCCACAAACAAAAGTAAGAGTCCTACTTTTCACTTTCCTCTGTGACAGAGACTGTCCACCATTTAATCACTGGCTCCCTCTCTCTCTTATAAACACAAAGATACTTGGATCTCACAATACTTCCTCAAAATAGAAATGTGAAAAAATTGTTGAAAAAGAAATCTGCCAATAAGATTTGTACATCTCGGTTCAGTGGCATCCAGAATGTTTCTGCAATGTTTTGTTTTTCCTTACTTTAGAAGAGGTTGACTGAGTCCTGCCCACACTCTAGTTATTAGGAAGTTGGCCATATGGATGAGAAAGACCACCTGCCTTGTTGGGTCAGCCAAACAGATGGCCAATTTCTGATGCTTTTCTTTACCCTTATTTGTAGCAGAGCAATGTAGATCCTCCATCCTGTGCATGACAGGGCATTGCTGCCAAGGGATTTTTATCCAAATGGGAGTCTGTGCAGCCATGCATGTATGTCTTTACTTACCATATTCCACTTGCAAGCATGTGGAGTGGGGGAAAACACTGACAGCACCACAATTTTCTTTGTGGGAGAGTCAGGAAAATGTGCAATTTTTAGTTAATCACTGAAAAAGAGAGTCTGCTCTAGAAAACAGAACACATTTAGGAACTCGTAAACAACTGATAACTTTTTGTTTCACAGCCTGCCCCTCAACAATAGTGCTAAAAGTAGATTTTTATTCTTATTTTTAAGTCTGCCTGAGTTTTACATGCTAGGCTTGTCCTTTCTTCTTATCTATTTTCCTTTGCTTTAACTTTGTTTTTTTCTGCAGTGCCGTGATAGCTCTCCTGGATATTTGGGGTCACATATAGTTCACAAAGGGAAGCTTTAAAGTTGTTCTCACATATTAAAGACCCAGAAAATGGCATTCCCTTCAAATAGACTAGGACAGTGGCAGTCTCTTTTATAAAATTTAAGACTAAATTGGGTCATTAAATATGTCAGATAATTCTGGTAATCTCAGCCTTTTTTATTCCTAATATGGCATTAAAATCAGTCATCCAGCAGTATCCAATTTCTTGAATCAGTGTACTATATAATAAGAATAAGAACAAGAATAACAATAGGAAGAAGAATAAGAAGAATGTCCAATTATGCCGCTTACGAGCACTAGGGAAAATATTTTATCGAGTATTCTGTTTTCCACTATCTTTTTAGATTTCACCACTTGTGTTGCTCTTATTTTGTCCTCAGCAAATACTCAGGAACTAAAAAAATGCTTTTCAGAAAAGCAGAGGGTGACATTTGTGGCCCTGAGCCTGCAGGTTCAGCAGTCACTCACTTGTGCAATTACCTAGAGGTTAATTTGATGCTTTAATGCTCAGCACAGGTTTTTCTTATTTTCACAAAGGAAGGCTATTTTAACACAGCCCATTTCTTGAAGTGAGCCTCAAGTTGTCTCAAAGTCCTGGAATTTCAAAGTGCATCATTTTGTAGCATAACATGTTGAAAGTAAGAACTTTTCTGAAAATGTTTGAAGATCAAAAGGCAATATTCAAAGCGATCTGATCAGAAATGTTTCTGGTCTCCAGTTCAACAAATATTTGGGTCCTGGAGTTTTTGCAGAATTTTCAAGGTACAGAGATCATTTGAAGATATACACTGGAAAGAAAGAAAGAAAGATATATTTGTAACTATCTCTGCCATAGAGTTTATTTTTATAGCATTACATGGTTAACTCAATAGTTCATGTAAAAGTTTTTACATTGAAATATGGAGTCTGTACTATTCAAAAATATTGCATTAATGAGCAGAAGATTCTCAGGATAAGGGTACAGAGATTTTTAACACAATAAAATGCCCCAGCTCGAAATGGAGATGTAGAAATTGGAGGGCAGCTGTGTATCCATCGCTGATGCTCTCCTTACACTGTTGCGTGGCAGGAAGGGATCTATGGCATGTCAAGCTGATGTAATCCACCACTGCCAGCTTACTGATTTCTGATTCACAGCTTCTGGAACTGCTCAAGAGACTAAACTCTGTCTCATTGCCTTGGACACAAGACAGCTCACAGCTGTCTGTAGAATGACAGATTACACATAGACTGTAACAGACTTCTGAAGGTCCCCAGTGTGAGTCTCTTCTCAAAGAGAAGTATTTGCAATGCTGAGTAAGTTTATCTATAACTTCATTTAGCCAATAACCTCCAATAATTAATATTCAATCTTCATTTAGCCAATACCCTCCTATATTAATATTCAACCTGTCCAATCTATAAGGACACCAGCAAAAGGTTTACAAACTTTCCAAAGCCCCATCACAAGTGTGTTGTCTGAAGCTCGCAAACTGCTATTTTTTGGGCATTTTCCCTTCACAGAACCTCACCATATCAAGAAAATATGTCTCTGACACCTTTTCAACATCACTGCAGGTTGTACAGCAGGTATAGGATAACTCATTAGACTCCTTTTCAAAAGGTTAAACAAGCACTGCTGTCTCCAACTCTCCTCCTTAGGCATATGCTTTAGGCCTCTAGGGACCTATGTCTTTTTCCTCTGGATGCTTGCCATCTTCTCCTCATCCTTCATGGACAGCACAAACCTACATCCAGTGCTTCAGCTACAGCCCTGCTAGTGATGAACAGAGTGAGTATGGGGCAAGAGCCCACCCTTGACACACTGGTCTAATGTACCCAAGTACCTGCCGTGCATAGTGTGCACCAAGACTATGCTGGTGCCTCACATTCATGTGGGCACCCACTGTAACCCTGAGTCCTTGGCCTAAGGATATGATTGTCTGATTGGAGCAAAAGTTCTGTTTTACTCTGAATAGCCATTATATTCAGAGTAATTCTGAATATTGGAATTCTTTTTGAAGAATGAACGCAGCAAATTGCAATTTTTGTGGGAATTCTCAAGTTTAGGCTTGATTTTCCTAAATATCATACAAGTCCTTACTGTTGAGACCTAAAATCCATTTTAAACAATGTAGTCAAATTATAACAATAACTAGAAGTCTTTAAGCGTCCATCCTCAGGACATAATCTGCCATGATATTGTAGGCCTAGGATTTAATTATTCTTTTTCTAAAGGTTTGTGTACATCCCTTAGCCTCATCTCATCTACAGTACTCCTTGGCTTGAGTCATTCTGAAGTATTATGTTTCAATGCTGAATTTTATTCAGAAGGAATACAATTTCTTCTTTTCTTTTTCTCCTTTCCCTGATGCCTGAGAAGTCTTCAGTATATTGTAACATTGTACATTTTTTGTACCCTTTACAACTGCTTTTTCAAAATATTGTGTACTTAGATCTTCTTTCCAGTGGGTCACAATGGTGCAAAGAAGTTTCCAAAGAAGCTGTTGGGGGGGGGGGGGGGGGAAGGCAGGGAATTAAAAAAAGCAGAACAATTTTCACCAGTATGGTCACTGGTTTCAAAATCAATGCATGTCTTATGATCTTACGATCACTCAAGATGTGAAAGTGCAGCTAGTCTATTTTTTACCCATCCTGTGGAAGTACTAGTGGTCAATACAGAACAAGAACTTAATGTGTCACCAAACAGATGATGTAATCTATAAACAGAGAAAGTAA